TCACCACCTACTATTTCTCACACTAGATTGAAAATACTTGTGATCTCATGCAAAATAATTTCCAAGGCAGAGAGTGTAAATTTACTGTTGGAACAGTCCATCACCACGGGCCTTTCCCTCCCGCCACTCTAAGCTGCAAGGGCTACAAAGAGGCACCTCCACCTCAGCAGGTGACGCTCACGCATCTTGCTGAGGAGAAGCGAGGCCTTGCTCAGGCCAATGCAGACAGACACCAATTCGCACCCCTTATGATTTTGCACCATCACTGGGACAAACTGAACAGCAGAATTAGAGCTAAGATAATCGAATTTTGTCAAAGATGACTATTTCAGAATATAAGAGGTCGCAAACATTCCAGAATTGTCCCTAAGAGCACATGCTCCCCTACCTCTATGTGAGGGCACCTTGCTGTCCTAGCATGGAAAGGAGAGAAAACTGTCAAAGATGCACATTCAGCTGGACGAAAACACTAAGATTGAGTGAGTCTCTCCAAACAGAATCTACTAAGCTCAGACTCAGTAGTTTCTTTCCCTTCATTTCAAAAGGCTGGCAGCTTTCTAGATTTCTAGATCTCCTGCAGAAGAGGGATGGGAGAAGTAGAGGTGCACGATTCACAGGAGACTTTCATGACAAGCTCTACTGGTCTGTAAACTATGCACTATATAATGAAAGAGTATTCCAACCTTAAGATAATAGGACCAGATATTTTACATCCTCATTACCAGAGTGGACATCTAATTACCTTGACTCATGCCCTAAGTCTCTTTGTGCTAGATCTTGCCAGAAATTCTACTTTTGCTTCCCCAGCAGAAGAGTCACAGTATTCATGTCCCTATATCAGGACGGAACAAATCAGTTCTATTCTATGTTCCTTTTTATTTTATTAAAAAAAAAAAAAAGAAAAAAGCTGCATTATTAATTATAAATCTATTTATAAATAGAAGATATAAATTTATTCTGCTAATTACCTTTAGATAAAGTCCTAAATAATCAAGTTGGAAGCTAGAAGACTTCTGCATGCTCACTGCAGTACATCTTGCCCTGAAAATGGTTCAGTTGAACAAAGAATCCAGACCCACGCAATCAGGTATTGCTCATGTGGCCAGTAAGAAGCCCTGAAGTTACTTTAATGAGCACAGACCTCATTAAAATATAGTCTTAAATTTAGCAATACAAAAGAATAACCTACTAAAGGTGCAAAGGAACATAAAGATTGATGCTCTGGACTCAGTATTTCTTGCGGCTTATTGCTAACAAATTAATATAAATAATAATAATCTAAAAAGTCAAAGCAAAAAAGCACTATACACGCACTATAATAGCAATGAAGACAGGACGTGCATTAGACCTACCTACCCTGTGCTGCTACAGAAGAGCTGCTTCTCACAGTAGCTACACATTTCTCAAGCAATAGAATTTGTATCAACTCCCAATCTGTACTGGATTTCCTATTCCCTCCTGTCCAAACCACCTTCCGATTATGTAGGAAGGACTGCTCCCATTTTTTAATCTATTATTTTGAGAAACCTTGTCACAGAGCTCCCTTAGCTATTTAGCTGCTGAGATTAAGGATAACCTTAGGCTGAAAGGAATCACATTTATAGTATTTCATGCTAGGTGCCATATCCTAGATTATTTGCAAGGCCACTGCCACAGGAACATTGGTTCATAAAAACCCAAATCATTCAAGTATGCTATACTTGCTATATGTATATACTATATACATATTTAAAACATATATATTATGATTTCTTTTATTTGCAAGGCCACTGCCACAGGAACATTGGTTCATGAAAACCCAAATCATTCAAGTATGCAATACTATATATATATTTAAAACATATATATTATGTTTTCTGTTCTTCAAATTCAACCTTTTAAATGCTGGTTGAAGATGTTATTAAAAAAAAGCAAGACAAGAAAAAAACAAAAAACAACAAAAAAAAAGATTTTCCTCCCAGACACTTTGTATAAAGGTAAGATTTTGATAAATTTGGTAGTTGTACTTACCAGAAGAAAGTAGCAAAATTTCCGGTGCCAATCAGTTGAGAGAGATTCTCTCTTCTATATCGCCTGTGATTTATCATCTGTTTTTACCAAAAAAATAATAATAATAATAAAAAAAAAAAAACAGAAATTTCACCAGCATGGCAACTTCTTCCCCCCCCGCCCCAAGGAAAAATAAAAAATAAAAAAAAAATTCAAAAGATCACCTACTTTCTTCTTGCTACCTTCACATTCAGAAATCAGTCATCTTTAGGCTCATCAGCACATCTCATAAGCAATATATGCTTGTTCTTAAACAAAAAGGCACCTATAAATACTCAGCCTTTGAAGCACTGAACAGAATTAAGCACGTTATTACAAAATATATTTTTACTGTCTTTCTTTGTAACTCACATGCCATGTAATTCACTCTGAAATCTGAGCTTGTTACTTCCTCAACCTAGTCGCTTTCTTTGAAATACTTAAATTCAAATAATTCACATTTCTTTGCTTCATGTGTGCATATATAAAGACAACATTCCATTGCACCTTCTTTCAAATACTACTTTGAAGCAATCTGAAAATTTAATACATATTTCTTAGAGAAATTTAAGTGAATTTATTGTATAAAATTATGATTGGCATGGTACAGAAAACTTCCTTTTAAAGCACATTTCCCATTAACTTGTACACAAATATTACAAGAATCAAGCAAAATGCAAAAGTCTTAAGAACTAATTCCATACTACAAAAGTGTTCACATAGTGAAGTTACTCTGGTTACAAAATGTTATGGAAATAAAAGCACTTCAAAATACAATTTGGGAAATGTTCTTGAACAATCAACACTAGGTTAAGTTAGTTTAAAAATGGAAGAAAAAAAGGGTACCCTCTTCAGAACACTCCTATTGGCTTAGCAAGATGGAACAAAGTTCAGATCTGTTCATTTACCAAGGACTGATCTTTCCAAGAAGTAAATAAAAAAGGGTTAGTTATTAAAGGGCTCAATAATACTCTGATGACAAATAACGCCATCAAAAAGTTATCTGGCTCTCTTGTTTTCATACAGGAGCTGTCAGAGGCAGAGCTGTGTAAGTGAACACTTCCAGGCAAGTACAGATTGCCTCACTTGTTCTGTTTTTCTCCTTGAGACAATCTGAACTTTGTGGTTTCAACTAACTGGTTTAGCTCCTGAGGTCGCAAGCCCCAGGAACAGAGGTCCGCAAAGGATATATATTCAAAGAACAAAACTGAACTTTCACTACGAAGGACTACTTAGATGTCAGGTTATTCAAATACTGTACATGCTTCCCCTCCACAGTAAGACTGTTCAAAGCTACCAAATCTCTGCTTCCCAGCTACCCTGAGGGTCGGCTGTTCTCAAGAAGACAAAAAACGCCTGGGTCCTACAAACAGTCTTAAAATAAGGAGGACAGTCACTCTGCTAGAAAATAACACAGAAATTGAAGACTGAAAACATCCTTAAAAACTTGTAACAAAGTAACTACAAAGCAATGCATTACATTTTTTTTTGTACCAGATGACTTGTGTGTGTTTGAGCAATTGAACACTGGTCTGCATATCCACATGGAATTTGCACGCACGGGACTTCACATTTCGGCATTGCAATTACTTTTTTCTTTTTACCCACACAAACACATTTTCTCTCTCACACACACGCAATTACTGTCAATTTATCCAGTCTGTTTGAATAAAAGACTGTGAAGAACAGTCCACAGCATGCATAAGAGGAGCATCATCCGATACAGTGTTGTCCTGCAAAAATGGAGTCAGAATTCCTGAGTCTCAAAGACGTCACTGCCCTTCTCCGTTACTGGATTATTTACTTTTCCAGGAGAACCTCTAGTTTTCATTTCTTCACTCTGGTAAAATTTATAATAGATTGCATCTTTCAAAAATGTAAAACTTTTAGAAAAAAATATATAAACTGAAGTTAATTTTTAAACATTTGTAAACGGAGGAGGTAATTCACTGATAAACAAAGGCCACCTTCACGCTAATATCCCATCAGTTTTGTTTAAAGGAGAGATTTAGCTCCCTATTCTGGAAAACCTTAATACAAGCAATTCCATCCTTTTAACAATTAGAAAATATATATATAGACAGGGTTAACATGGAACAGCCCTTTGTTACCATCAGCAAGGTGGTAAAACCAATGCAAGAGTTGATTCACAGTCTCCTTCAAGTAGTGCTGGTCACTGCAATCTATTATAACTTCTATTTTTTCCCTTTTACTTTGCATATTACACAGTGTAACTTAAAATGTTATTTAAGAGCACTTCAGTCCCACAATGTAGGATTTAAGCTTGTGTGAATACATATGCATGGCTCTGCAACATTTGTAATGACTTACAAAAATACATTCAACCAAAACTTTATATAAGGTTCTCTCCCTGCTCCCCTTAAAAAAATAAAAATAAAAAAAATAAAAATCAAGGATGAAGAGAAAGCCAAATGGCCCCCTAATCAGCAAAATAATACACTAGAATTCTGGAAGTAACTCCAAAGCAAAGCACATTCAAGAATAATATACACTGAATTGCATACGTTCTCATTCATCTTTATCAGTAATAAAGTTCTAATGTATATAATTATTCGGCCTTATAAATAATGCTAAGCAGAAAAATATTTACCTCTGTGCTATATTTCTCAGTTCATAGAAGCATTTCTCAGTTTATAGGAGCAAACAAAAACGAAAGTGCAGACTACAGGCCATGACAGGCGTAATAAATGACCAAAGGTGCAGCCAAATTTACATTTACATCTTAAGTTACTTTGCCATCTTCCGAGTTCTTGCTAGAAGTCACCCCTTGTGCAAATGAAGAGCTGGTCAGCTGGTCGGTGCCACAGTACAACCTGTAGCCACTGGAGGGAGAGGGAGCTGTTTTTTCTTTTTGTTTAAATCTAGTTTAGTTGTCCATAGACATCTCTAGGCAATAGCTGAGGTTCATAAAAACCTTTCTTTATTAATACTTGAAAAAAGAAAAAAAAAAGTCACACGATATTGATCCCTCCCCCAGCAAATGCTACTGTCCTCTTGTTGCATGACGTGGTTGAACCACTGATGCTGGGTGGGCTGCCTGTAGCAAGGGACGTCTTCATTTCCATCTCACACGCCACGATGGCTGCATTCAGCTCCACTTGAGCTCGGTGAACCACATAAAACATGAGTCCTATGCTGATGACAATCTGCAAGAAAAAAAAAGAGTTGTCAGATATACAATCCATAAGCATGGGCAGCACACAACCATTCCTAACACAACCTGGATGCCACCAGAGCAAACACTCAGGAAGACATCACTGAGTCGAGGTTTCAAAGGCAAGTGATGAGAAGGGAGATGAACTTAACTGGGAAGTGACTCTATATCACTGTATGTTCCTACTAACGTGCCAAAGAGCAGACACCAGGGAAACTTAAATAGTAGAAGGAGCTGCAAATACAGATTCTTTCTTGCCATTACGACCTTTCACACACTTTCTAGCAAAGTAATCTCTTCATCTCTTCAAAAAACAGCTGCATAAAGAAATGACATGATTGAAATCAAAGAGCTGTTTTCTAAATAGCAAGTGGATACCTACAGTTTGCAAAACAGCAGATAAAAGGGATGATGCAAAGAAAACAAAACTACAGCACTCCAAAGACCTCGGGAGAAAATATGACAGAATTGAAGTCTGAGCAACTTGTAGCAGTCTGAACTTGTAGAATTTGAGTCCAGGACCTTTTCCTCTGAATTTTATTACTATTTTTTTCTGAACTTAATAAATGAACATAGGAGTAAAGCAGTATAATTTTTGCTTAGACATTACTTATTCTATGGTATCAGCATTTGCTGCACTGCCCAGAGATTGTCTTTGGCTTCAACAAACCACCACTAGGGTTTTCAGCAGAGACTCTCCTTTACAGAAACAAACAGAAAACTTCCAATATAATCAAGTTGTCTTATAACGAGAGTATCCTTACAATAAAGTGGTACATTTTTCCATATTTTAAAACTGCTTCTATCCAGTTGGAACCTGAGCTTCCTTAAAAAAAAAAAAATCCATATTTTATACAGCAGGGCTTCTGCTGCAGACAGTGGGCTGTTCTACTGCTACAGAAATATTGATCCAAAAATAAATCGAACACCTAAGTATTTAAAGCAAGTCTAGAAACTCTGATCCAACATGACAAAATACTGGGTTTAATCCTACTGCTGTAAAATAAGGGTATAATTGTTCCCTATTAAGCAAGTAGCATGCTTATATTTGATAAGCTTATTTAATAAAGAGCTTACAATTATCCCAAACTCATTCTTTAAGACTGTTATAAGCATTAAAAAAACAAATACTCCAAATTATTCAAGAGCAACTATCTACTAATTCCAGCTATAAGTTTCAAAAGTTAGTACATGTAGGAGTCAACTTTAAGACTGTTATAAGCATTAAAAAATAAATACTCCAAATTATTCAACAGCAACTATCTACTAATTCCAGCTAAAAGTTTCAAAAGTTAGCCCATGTAGGAGTCAGAAAGAGACTACAGACAATAAATTATGAATATATATGGAAAATCCTACTATAAAAGCTTACCGAAATATTTAAAATTTAACTGTCTCTAGAATTATTGCTGCCAACAGCCTTCAGTGTCCTCGGCAAATAATTTAAAACATGTACACACAGGCAACTACGAACAAAGCTAAAATCAAACAGCATTTGTTATTTTGGATACATTCAAAGAAGCATGAAGTGTTTTTAAAGCTACGTATTAAATTGAAGCGCATCAAAGCCACGCAGACAGGCAAAGCACGGGGCAGATGTCTGAAAAAAAGTGGGAGAACAAGTAATCCCTTCCCTGGGAGGGTGCCCTCGCCTTAGGCGCTCATCTCCTAAAAGCTGCTCTACGAAGGCGAGGGCTCCTGCTCAAACACTGCAGCCTCCCCAGCCAGCACTCACCTGAGCTGCAGTTACACTGCGCTGGCAGGTGATATATCCACCAAGGAGACTCGGCGCAATTTTAAACAAATTTTAAAAGCAAAAAAACAGGGAAACACTGCTGAAAACTACCCCATAAATGAGGTCTACAGACTAAAGTGAAAGCTGATCGAGTAACTTTTTAACTTCTATCATATTACATATGTCACATTCCCCAAACATTTTTAATATTTTTAAAGATATTTTAATATTTTTAGTGATCTGTTATATCAATACTATAAATTATGTTCTACATACTTTATAAACCAGCAAGGGAAGAGAGGAATGGGGAGCATTAAACTGATCCTGGAGCAGGTTTTTAATCTTAGCTTTGTTAAATACCAGTTTTTGATCATAAAAACTGAGAAAGACGAATGACTGCAAACCAATCCAAATCTGCAAACCACGGTAACTGCAGTCAAAAATAATCTGAAAGTGCTGGCACTAGCAGATGAGAACCAGTTTGTATTCTAAAACCTCATGCACTGAATTGCAAAATAAGGATCATTTGCTTTAGCCATTAGTAGAATGGTATTTCTACAGCACTTTTCATACAAAAAAATCTATGCAAAATTGGAAGCATTCTGTGCTAGCAGTGAACACTGCCCACATGCGGGTTCTGCACGGATGGTTTGAGGAGCCCAAAATTCAGCTGGAGAAGTGAAAACTACACACTGCAAGAGAGGAAAACTTGACAAGGCAGAACAAGGAAACGCAGGTTGAATAATCTCTGCCTTGCATCACCTGAGGAATAACAGAATTTAACCTTTTCTGTTGAAAGAAAATGAAACAAAAACAGCAAGAAAAAGACAGGACACTGGAAACCCATTGTGCTGAGTATCCAGTGGTCATAAAGTCTGTGAAAAAGAAATGCCAGCTCTGTTTGACACGGTACACTTAAAATATAACAGAGATGGAAATCCAACACTTAAGCTGCTACTTTTTGAGCACCATATGCCCCATTTGCTCGGCTCTTGGTGTGTAGGAGGCTGCTGCCTCTGCCTAGGGAGGTTACACACCGAGCAGAGAGCACCAACACCGTGACGTGTGTGACCCCTGCTCAGGCCTCCTCTTCTGCACCGGGGACTGTGCGATCTGCAAGGCAAACCAGCAGTGCCAGATCTCTCTCTGTCTTATGCACATTCCTACTGGGATGTCATTTCCAAAGGAAAAAAGAAAAATCCATAATTGAGATAAGGGCCCACCAAAGAAACTTGCCTGCTTAGCTCCAAAAACAAAATCCTGTCTCAAATCCCACTGGCACAGTAGATCAGTAAGAAATTAGAAGGGTAAAGAAATACGCTCAAACAGAACAAGTAGACCACACTTCCAAGAGCAACCTCTCACCAAAACAGTCCTAAAAATACTGACGTGCCCGCTAAAGCCTGTGAAAGCGATGCCTGCAGCTTACCTGCAAACTGAATATAAAATATCCACTGACGCTTTGCTCTGCGATCACATCCTCCATCGTACGCAGGGTGGTGCCCAAGTAGGAGTTGAGGAGCTGAGTAGGAAGCAGCCCGACCGAAGAAGCCATCAGGTAGTTGGGGAGCGACAAATCTGTAATCTGAACAGCAGAAAACATGAGAACCCAGGCACGGCCTCGGCTCCACCGCCCCCACACCAGCCATGCACAAAGAATTTATTTTATTTCTTCAGTTAAACTTTGCCACTGCTGTTGAACATAGGGTTATACAATAAAATGGCATTTGGTTAGATCTTATCTGGTCATTTTAAAATTACTGCGCTTTATCTCGTTTCACCTTACATTGCTCAACATCTCCTCCACACAATGTCATTAACTAAGGATACAATTGGGCTGTTTAAGATCTTTATTTCTCCATGGTGAACAGAGCCCTACAATTTATGCTTTTCTCTCAGGAATAAATGACATTACCAGACAAGAAGGTCTAAGGAAAGATTTGATATTTATCATCTATTTTCTTTGCATTTTACATCCATGAAAACTAATAAAGCGAGTCTGTTCAAAATGTTACTGTGCTGAATAAGACAGAATGGCAGATACAATCTGCCTCTACAGAGGAAATTATACACAGCTCACGAGGATCCTCTGCCAAAAGATATTTTATATCATCCTTTAATTAGTGAACAAAATACAAATTAGTAGGACAGCTATAGCTTTTGTCAGTATCTGCAGGAGAAAAACATGAGTAATACTTAAAAAGTTTCCTTTCTTTGCTGACAAATTTCTGTTCCAAGTCACTGAATACTGAGTGGACAGTTTATATAGGAACAACCTACAAAGCATTAGCTAAATTAATATCAGCAGCTATTGAGAAATATTAAATCTAAGAGCCAAGAGTCCAGGAGATATTTATGTAAGAAAATGAAAGCAGAAAGAAGCAGAGGGTTAAAAATAACATAAGCATAAAAAAGGAAGTTTTGAAATAAGCAGTTTAAGGAATTCCTCCGGACAACTCAGTTGATCTCATAACAAAACAAGTTCTAAGTAGGAACATCCCCTAAACCTGGAAGTCTACATGAAATTATTGACCTTGACAGATTTGTACCATGCCAAAGACGAGAGAAAAGCAGCAAAGTTACTCATTTCATCATGCTGTTCTTAAAATAAACTGTGAAAGTCACAATGTCGAATTCCCATAGCTCTAAGCACAGACCACCGGTGGAAAGTCCCTGTGGGGGAAGGAAGGGCAGAGGAAGAGGAGGAGGATGCAATGGGACATAAAGATTAAGTCACTGGAGTAAGATACAATCAACCAATTCCAAACTTCACACTGCAAATTACAGTTCCTATAGACTTAAGTATAGAGTAGCAACACAAACAACACACTTCCCCTCTATGAAAGTTTAATTTAGATTTCTAATGAAAAAGCACTATATAATTATGTCAGATTTCATATCTGACAGATGCTTTCAAATGATTTTTTCTTAATATTACAGTAATCTGGGCCACGTAATAAGAACGCACACAGAAACTTCCCTTATTGCCAAGGGAATGAGGGAGCAGCTATTAAAAGTCTCTGAAACACTAACGCTGAGGCAAGAATTGCTAAGTAGGACACTGTCATTAAACCTAATGGGGCTGGGAAACTTCCCAAAGATTGCTTTAGCACTCCTGGGCACCTCTTTCTCTTCTGAATATGTATGAAGACACTCGGGTTGCAGAGGCACACGCTGCACGCCTGGATCTATCCCGAAGCGCCTGGGCGCTCCGGGCCCCGAGAGGAACCGCTTCCAGAGAAGGAGAGGCTGCCAAGAGACACGCCGGGCTGGGGCTCGTGCATTCCATCGAAAGGAAAGTTAATCAGAGGGAAGAAGAGGGCATGCAGAAGATCTCCCTGCGAGCCCTACTGTGCAGGGTGCAGACCCGCAGTGGTAGCCCAATAGGAGGCAGGTGCCGTGTTGGCCACCGGCTGGTGGACCTGAGAAACCCGAGAAACGTTCAATACATAATGCAGCAAACATCATCTTCCTTCTATAACCTTCTGTAAGGTTTTATCTCCCCTAGAATGCTGTCACACCAGGGAGATTTTCTACAGGGACTCTGTTTCTAAGGGAAGCTCAAGCAAGCAAAAATTAAGATTGAAATCCCAAAGAATGAGCAGATGCAACGCTGCTACTGGCCAGAGCAAACTACACACTGAAATAAAATAAAGAACCACCTAACTTCGCTGCTAGCAAAAGCTACAGCCAGAAAGTCTCCAGCTTAGCCCTGGTGAGGCTCTCTCTGATGCAGCCTTTGTGGATTCCTCGCAGTTGACCTTTCTGGTTCTGTCAAGGAGTGAGTCGGGCCGCTGCTAGAGGTCAAATGCGCTTGGGGATTGGAGCAGATCTCCTGCCCCTCAACCTGGAGCATCCTGTGCTGCAGGTCAGGTCGGCTCAGCTCCTGGGAGGAAAGGACAACTGACAGCCTTTGCTTCCTAGGGAAAAACAGGTATTAAACGAAAACAAAACCAAACACTGGGAGCTTTCCAGCAAGCACAGGAAGCAGCCCGTGTGCTCCCTGAAGGAGATGGTTCCTGAATCGCGACTTCACCACGCTCATTTCTGGAAGCAGAGGAGTTGGACACTCAGATTTCCAGTCAAACCAGATTTCTGTACAACGTAGCCCACTCAAAGAGGGGAAAGGAGGAAAGGCCAGGGGAAACACTCCAGCGAGAAGCGCCCGAGCAGCCCTGGGCCGCACGTTACAGGAGCGAGTGCTGCGCTAAAGCCCGCTCAGAAACACGAACTCACTCCCGTTTCACATGTTCCCGGGCTTTCCAGGTAACTGCGCTGCCCTCCTGCTCCTAACGCTCGGCGCTTTCCCAAAGGGCAGCAGATCGACCTCAGGAAGCAAGAAGGTAGTGAGCCGCCAGCGAAAAGCAAAGACATTCCCGTCAGCTTCATTTCCAAGAAATCCGAGCGCCGTCCGTGTGAGCAGAACTGAGTATTCCGCGTGGATCTTAGACCTCACTCACAGTGAGAAACAGCTTGGAACTCCCACATTTGCAGGCAGCATTTTAAGTTTTTCAGTAATACAGGAGTTCAATTTTGAATCAGGAATTTTGGTATGAACACACTGTTTCACCTGACTACGCTGTTAAGAGCAATAAATCAGGAGTAATGAACACAGCTCCCAAAGTAATTTTAGGAGGCAACATTCAAGCTATTTAGCATACTCAGGAACTTGGCTTCATCTCATTTCCATATATGTTATTTTTATACTGAAACCTTTCACTAGGGAAAAAATTTTTTAAGTTTGCAGCACTTACAGAATATTAACCACTGACTATAGCATTATGTTAATGTTACACAGGCCTGAATACCCTGCTGAATCGTTCTCCCTAGCGGGCATGGCAGAATGACTGGGAAAGGGAAAAATCCAGTGTTTTAGCTCAGTAATTCGCAGGTCAGCCGTATACCAGACCCACTACTGCTCTAGAACATTTGCTGATGGCATCAAGTGACGCCTGAAAGCCACAAACCACCCACGCGCGGCAGCTCTCCCTGCTTTAGAAGGGTCCCACTGCAGTAGAGGCGCCTCCGGCTGCGCCAGAACCTGCCACTCTGATCCTGGAGGGATCCGGGATGGATCGGGAGACGCCACAAGCTGCTCCCTCCGCTCTCATCACACCCGCCATGCAGGTCCGGGCTTCCCCAATCCCGCAGCACCGCAAATAAGTAAATAAAGTGGCTAGCTTCCTTTCATTTTCACGAAATGCTTAAAGGAGCTACTTAAATGATGATATCCTCAAGTTGCTACACCGTTTAGGGACAGACAGCCACTCTGGAGACTAATGCCAAGGCTACACTGGAAGTTTTACACGCGGCAATTTTAACCTACAGGAAAAACCTCACAAGCCCTGCGAGAATTAACACCTAACAACAAACTGAGCATTAGTGACCTGCTCATTTGCAACCAGATGAAACGGTCACAGCGAAGCAAGTGCTTTGGAAGGACACAGATCCAGGACTGCAGATGAGGGAAGGAGAGTATTTTTGTAAGAAAGCCGCAGACCAAAACCCTTGTCTATATGATCTCTTATGTTAAAAGATATATGAGTTACCATTAAACATTAAAAACACTGTGCAATCTGGTGTGCTTTGTATGGATTTTTGTGCTTTTTCAGACCTAGCTGAGGCCTAATACAGAGCGAAAAACCATTTCTTTAGATGGTTTTCCCTCAGGGAAAGCAGAGGGCTTGAAACTAGTCTAATTAACCTCCTCTAAAAAGAGCATACTTTGTATTCTTCTTTACTTTCTCCTTTAAAGGATCAGAGACTAATTACAAGATGATAAGTTTTAATAGATTTTTTTAAAAAATGTACTAACTTATTAGGAGAGAAAATCAAGCCCAGCACTTTTCCAAACTTAGGTTTAAACTTTGAGCCCTCTTCAGCTATGAGCCTGCACCTTCCTGCTCTCCATGCGCACGAGTTTAACATCACACAGAGCTTCGCTAAACCCACGCTGCGCACAGCCTCTGACCAGAGAAGGAATTTTAATCCACCCACTTCTTTCCTTCCAACATTATTATTTGCGTTAAGGCGTCTAGAGGCCTGGCAGGCTTGCTCAGCCTTCCCTCCCACCGACCCGCGTTACCAACACAGGTGTTTCCCACCCGCCGAGTGCCCCTGCGGGGACGTTTCGCCGCCCGGCCCCTTGGTGCTTCTTTGGGCGCTGCAGCCCCGCGGCAGGCAGCGACCGCGGCGTCCGCGCGCCCTCCCTTCCCGCTGCCAACGGCGCGGCCGGCACCAGGGGCGCGCAGGGGGCTCACGGTTATTTTCCCTCAGCAAAGAACAAAGTGGCAACGGAACCCAGCGCTCCTTGGGCAAAGGGGGCACCGCTGCAGAGGCCGCCCTCCCTCCCGCGGTGCCCGGTGCGAGGGGCCGCGGCGCAGGCCGCACTCACCGCGAAGACGGCGTTCTGCAGCCCGAAGGGCACGGGCGTGACGCGC